GGTGGTCACTATTTTTCTACATTAAGTTTTGTAAGATTCTTGGCTGTTCGATCTTTTGATCAGACGGTTGAGAGCACATGTCACCATTTGAATTTTATTTTTGTTTTACACCTCATTTGGGCTGAAATTTTGGGTGTGTGCACTTCTCACCCATATGCACTTGAAATGTTCTAAAAGATTAAAATGACCAGAATACTCGTGCAATGTTGCAAGGGGTATTTTAGTCATTTTCCTTTATTAGAAATAGTTTTCAGCTCAAGCTAATCTGTTAAAAATAAAAATTTAAATTTAAACAATGATACATACTCAACTGTCAGATCCAAATCAAATAGTTAAGATCATCACATAAATTATTGTTGAAATTCGGTGACCACTGTTTGGGAGCCTTTTCCATGCACACACACATACGTATACATCTAGATGTACTGTTAGGTTTTCACCGTACCTGATTAGTAATTTTTGTTATGCTTCTAACCATTCAATTGATTGAACAACTGGGTAATCGAAATTACTATTCACGTTTGGTGACAACCTAGTGGTAGGTTTCTCGTAGACACACACACGAACATAAAGGTGCTCTCCAAGCACCCCCCTTACAAATACAGAATATATGCTAGGTGGTCCTAGGTTCCCTCAATAATGCTTCCGTGGTGGGGAACTTTGGCCATCAGTTGATCGAAAGCTCTTGCTCCCACTCTTGAATACTATGAGTTGAACATTCACAAAGGATTTTAAATTGTACGATTGCAATTCTCCATAATGTTGACTCTCTTCTAAAATGATTTCATAGTATACTTGGCCAAAATAAAAAACTTTACGGAAGAGTGTGATTGATTTGCGGGAGAAGATTTGTTGGGAGGTACTTAGCTCTCCTTAACATATTCAATTGCAGCTATAAATATTTCTTGCTAATCATCAAAAAGCTCTGCTTTGAGAAATTGAACAATAAAAATAATATTTCTTGGAGATAATACCATTTATTCTGTTGCTCTTTCGGTTTACCTCATTGGATGTTTGATCTTTAGATTTTCTATTATGTGCTGTCCAGTGTCATTTCACGTTGCATTCACCAAAGTATAGGATGTATCTCAATGTCTTGCTCCTATATTTGTTATTACTTTCAAACTGTAGTTCTTCTTCTCCCTGTATAATTTCTTTATTACTCTTCCTTCTCTTAGCTTGTTTACTTTGTTGATTAAATTATTCTTGATTTGTTTTATCACCAAGGAAACTGATCTTATTTATCGATTTGAGATCGCTTGAGAAATTGATATCAATTTGTAATTGTACTATTCATTGGAATGTAATGTATGATTCACCATTTTCTACTAGGGAGGCTTCTTTGAGTGACCATATTGAGTTTCTCGAAAGCCTAGGAATAGCAGCAGTCAGTCATCACAGTTTGCTGTTCTCGAAGGCCGCGACTTCTCTGGCATTGAGACAAGAAGCTGACATTCTACCCTGGTAACATAGGAACTCTGGAGCCCTTTAAACCCATGCAATATTTCTAAGGCTAATTATGATGTTGTGTGATTTCTTTGCGTGTTATATGGTCTTTTGCTTATCTTTCACTTTTCCTATTCTAGTGTGGTGTGTGTGAAATCACTGAAGTTATGTTCAAGTTTATCGCAATGAACATGTGCCCCAAGCTGGAGCATGAGCAGGAGGAGATAAAAGTAAAGGTTGCTTCTGTGTGATATGGTTTTTGTACACTTAGCTGTGTCCTTTCGAACCATGATGGGATGATTTTTGGATAAAATTGACCATGTACTTTGATATACGAATTACAAATATATGGCCCCATTTAAAAATTATGGCTAGCACGACCAGTTTGTACACATGGGAAACAACCATAGAGTCAAGGGAGGGGGGAGGGGATTGTAATGGGGTTTAGAAGCAGGCCTTTTGGAAGGCAGTAAGTGCGGAAAACTACAACAAAATTTTGTGGAAAGTGTGCCTCTTTCTCTATGACATCCACTTCTGCATTGGCCTCTCCCTATGAGTTCTCGAGAGCTACTTAAAGAGGCCTAATGATTTCAAACACTTGTCATACATGGAATCTGGTCGTCATGGGAACCCTTGAGGCCCAAGCAGTCACATTTTGAAAAATTACCTTCCGCCAGGAGATCGGGACCTTGAGTGGTATCGAAGAGTCTCTGGCCCACTGAGAGAGCCTAGGCCTTGGCTATTGTGGATTTAGCCACTCCAATACCCAAACAATTTTTAAGAAGTTCTAGGCGACCCCTGCCCCACCAACCAGGCTTCTTGCTCATGGAAGTTTTGAGCCCTAAAGAAGACAAGCTAGAATCGGTTTTTTATCCTTTCAAGACTCGTAAAGTGTCCTTCAAAGATCCTGGAATTCCACTTGAGCCAGATAACCCAAAGGCTTGCCAACAGAGTGGACCTTCATAGTAGTAGGCTCAATGAAGGGAATAGGGGTTTGAAGTAAGATTGGAAAATGGTTGGATTAAGTAGGACCTAACCCAGGCCTAGCTAAGCTATACTGTAAGATGAAAGCCCATATCTTGTGTGCTATTTGCAGTGTAAAAGAGGTGCTCCATTGTCTCCTTTGCTTCCAAACACATTCAACATCAGTTTGGGAGTTGGACTCCTATTCCTTAAAGGTGATCTCCTGTAGGCAACTTCTTATAAAGGAGCAATCAAGTATAGCCTTGTTTTATGTACCGGAACTGTCCAACTTAGCTATTCCAGTTTAGAATCCTGATTCCTCTTTTCATGAAGGAATCGCCACAGATCCCGATTCTTAGAAGCGAGGAATCACAATTCCACATTTTTTGAATTTTGTTATGATGTCTTTGGAGTCTAGATTCCACCTCATCAAATTTTGAGAGTTGTGTACAAGACCGTGATTCAACCAATAGGTGACCTTGCTTCCGAGTTTTAGGAATAGTGATTAGTGCTATGTGGAATCTAGATCCGTAACATCCAAATGATTGCCAAAATTTTATGGAATGCTTGGAATTTTTAAACATTATTTGAAAATTTTGTTATTTATAATTAATAAATGATTGGTATCCAAAAACTCAATGGGTGTCGAAAAAACTCTAGTTCAAGTCGTTCCTAAATTTTGAGAATTGTAATAAATGTCTTATTTTAAATTACATTATTAATAAATGAATCTTTTTTTTTCATTAGTCAATCTCAAAACTCTAGGAAATACTTAGTTAAAGGTACTCAACCTTGTTTTCCAATACTTGAGGAGATCAAGGGAGGGGGGTGGGGATTGTAGTGGGGTTTAGTAATCTGACATGGGAAGACACAGCAGAACAAGTATATTCACATAAAAGTTGCTATATGTATAAAGTATATGAGCATTTTTCAAAATCATAAAATAAAAGTTATGAAAATTTGTTTTTTAAAAATGAGCAGGGTTCTTTTAGTTAGGCTTTGTACAGAATTCCCACTGTGTTAGTTTTTAGGAAGATTATTTCTTTTTGGTTTGTTTCCAGATTATAGATTCTCCCTAGTTCTTTCCTTCTCTCTCTCTCTCTCTCTATATCTTTTTTTTCTTTTTTGCTTCAATTTTCTTGTTTTCTTCAAATTATATGTAATTTATTGATTTTCTATCTTTGGATGTTTTAATAGTTCAATTTTTTTCTATTGTTGAAATATTTCGATGATTTTCTATGCATTGGGAAAAGAATGTTTCTGCGTATCTATACATTTGACTTGTGTAAAATTTGCAATATTTGTGGAAGTGCTGGAGTTGTGCGCCTCAACCTTAAATTCATTGATGGTGAAATAGCCCATATAATTCATGCGTGTAAACATTATTGTGCATAGTGCAGTTGTACAAATTCATCTCTCGAGTGAAATTTATTCATGATACAGAAAAAGAAGAATTACTCTTTTAATTGAGTGATTTGTCTCAATGTTGTATACTTCAATTTTAAAAATCATTTGAGGCATGAATCTTAAACATATCTCTGCTGGGTGCAGTAGAGGCACCATGTATATGGGACACTCTTCAGCTCGCTCTTTTTCAGACTCTGTTCCAGCCGGGTATGCCTTCCCATCTGATCTGCATATTTTTCCATTTACCTCCACTTTGAATGTTTCCATAGCAATGCTTGGTGATATGTGCATGTTTCAGGAAGGAAGATGCCTTAAACCCAAAGCATTGGAAATATCCCGACACAAATTCCCCTATTGTAGCTAGCAAGGCAGTGCATGCTGAGCGCCTCAAAGAAGCTATTAAAAGGTTATATCAAACTCTTGATAACGAGGTATGAGATTTTTTTTTCTTTCTTCTTTTCTGTGGTTGGGGGGGGGGGGGTTGGGGGTTTGAAGAAATGAGAATTGTTTTATTGGCGGTGTATCTTTTTGCAATTACCCAAATGGGTTGGGGGTTTTAAGAAATGAGAATTGTTTTATTGGCGGTGTATCTTTTTGCAATTACCCAAATTTCATCTCTTTTCAGGCTATCATTTCAAAGTTGCCTGACAAAGGAGAGAATCTGCATAGAAAGATAAAGGTACTGGAGTCAGAACTTGATACAATTGAGAAATCTGATATGAACCATGATCATAAGAAAGGGAAGGCAAATCCTAGCAATACTCCAGATGTCGTCAACATCGATGATATATCAGATGTGCTTCAAAAGTTATCGGTTGAAAGGAAGAGAGAGTAGGACTATTTGTATAAAGCATTTGGTGCATGTTTATTATTATTTTTATTTTTTTACAAAACTGTGATGCATGAAATGATCCTTGTCTACAAGGTGCATGAGATCCGTAATTCCATATGTGCATTCAAAGCATGTGCGCATCCATAAATACAATCTCTCTATGTCAATATCTAATTGGCACACACTGTAGACAGCATATTCCATGTTCGTTTTAACTTTTTTTTTTTTTTGATTTGGTGGTTGATAGAATGGGGGCCCAAAATCGTTGTCTTGGCCCAAATTGCACAAAAAAGAAAATATGATTGTAGTAGGGAAAGTAATCCTTTGAATGCATTGTTCTAGTTGTAATTATGAGAGTTCTATGCAATTTCTCTTTCCTTTTAGTAAATGATGAGGACATTCTTATCCAGGGATTCCGGCTTAAGAATCTTTTTCGAAACATGAATTCGTTACATCTGCTGCTGTATTGGTTCTTTATTGAGCGAAATATGGTCACCCAAGGTTCACATGATTTACTTTCTATTACAACATTATTTCTGATGACTGGCACGCTCATGCCATATTTTGTTTTCCATGAACTCTGGAAATAGATGGACTTACATAGTTGGTCTTCTCAAAGATCTCTTCCTTAATTTATATAGAACTTATTTTTGAGTAATGGGGACACTAGGGCCATGATCCTTGGCTAAGAGGCAGACGAAATAGTGGGCGCAGCACAAAATATGGTCCAAAGACAGGCCATGAGATACTTAGGGTTTCCCAGGTTGGACACATTTTCTTTTATGTTCTTATAAAATTTATGAATATGAGAATAAGGTTTGCATTGCCCATTAAGTTTTCCATTTTTTTATATGAAACTAATGAATATGGGAATAAGGTTTGCCGTTTGGCCATTAAGTTTAGGGAAGTTGAGTCTATTCTAATAAAGACATGGTTACTGTGTAGACAATGCCCATAGTGTAACTTGTGCCACCCAACGTCTAACTTAGTTAGATGGTGGTGATCCAACTAAGTTGGACGGTAGTGATTGAAAGATAGCATTTCAATTACCACTGCCCTTCAATTACCACCTCCAAGGTGGTTGGAGTTCATATACAGGTGGTTTGAGTTCATATACAGGGATGCCCGTATATGAACCGGTGGTTTGAGTTCATATACAGGGATGCCCGTATATGAACTTTTCCCTTCTGATAATGTCTTTTTAGTTGGTTTCCCTTTTCTATATTCTAGAACATTGTTGATCAGTATAGATCTACCTCCCGTTCTATTCAGCCAGTTCCTACTACGCCTAATACCAAAACCTACTCAAACTTATTTACACAATATCAATTTCCTCGAAGACATCATCTTTCCCTAACCATTTACAACCTTGTTCCTTGTCTGTGAAATTTAGACTATTTGTTTAATCTTTTACTAATGGAAAATTATTTCATGCGGGTTGGGCTGCATTTCTACAATATGTGTTCCGGAGGTCTAAATCATTCATCTTAAAGATGGATGCAAATAGGTGGTCCATCTGAAATCAATTCTAACTAATGGTCCAAATGTTTTCTTAATATAACTATTATTTCTAGTTTTCATTTTTTTTTTTTTTTCTATATTCATGATCTCCATATTAAATATTATATATTTTTTAAAAATTAAGATCAAATTATATTTAAAAAACATATTTATTGTCAAGCCTGCATTTCTACAATATGCCGCATAAAAACCGTGTCCTTGAGTTTATAAAACCCTTATTCCATAACCACCATACCCTGGTTCATTATTCATCAAAGACTTTCAAAATCTTGTTAATCATCTTCTTCCCTCTGGGCTGATAAAATCCGGTGGGACTATGTTTCCGTGAAGTGTTCCTTATGTCATAATTTCCATCAAACCTCCACTCTCCACTTCTCAAGGTTATGCATAGGTAGGATTAGGGGCCAGTTGGTAGATTTTTGGAAAACCAATTGAATGGCTCTTACTATTCTATGATGAGTGGCATGTCATGGATACTTATAGACCCAGTTTGGAGGACCACTTGTTTAGAAAAATACAAAAGTATTTATATGCCTGGTTTGGAGCCACTTGGGATTTCGAGTTAGGTCAATGACACACCTCTAGCCTCCCGATTTCATATCGGATGGCTGATGATGATGACCTCTTTGCATTAAAAATAAATGGTCTTTTTGTAAATTTTCCGTTAACTTATTCACCAAAGTACTAGGACATTTTATGTGCTTTTCTTTTTTGATTATCAGGTCCTTGTTGAGGAGAAGTAAATGGAGTTCCTTTTCTTAGGTACGTTACAGCTGCTACTAATGCTAAATAATTTATTGTTTTCTTTTTGACTATTTATTGCATTTATGCTTTAAGGATGTGGTTAGCATGAGGCCACAGGCAGGCTTGGTAATGAATGTATTTTTTAAATATAATTTGATCCTAATTTTTAGAGTATGTATAATTTTTAATATAGAGATCGTGATGAAATTTTTTTTTTTTCTCGAAAACTAAAAATAATAATTATATTAAAAAACATTTGGACAGTTAGTTACAATTATTTGTAGATGGACCACGTATTTGCATCCATCTTTAAGATGGATGCTTTATACCTCTAAATCGCATATTGTAAAAATGCGGTCAAGCCCGATGAAACAATTGTTCTTCAGATAAGGTTAAATCTAATATTTATTAGGAGGCAAACAATTCTAAATGTGATTGATGTGGTTAGAGATGGTGTCAACATAAAGTTAGGACTTCGGAGAGATGCTCTAGAATCTAAAGATTTTAAAATGAGTAAGACTAATACATAACATATGAAATGTAAATTTAGTAATAATATCAAGGAAGTAATTAAGATTGATGCTCAATAAAAACCTAAAATTGATTTTTTTTTCGATATTTTCGATCGATAGTCCATGAGAATGGAAAGATTGAAGAAGATGATGCCTTTAGAATTAAGTTGAGTGGACAAAGTGGAATTGAGTTTCTGGAGTATTATGTGATCGCCACACACCAATAAAACTAAAAGGGAGGCTCTATAGGATGGATATAAGACTAGCCATGCTTTATGGGATGAGATGTTGGACGGTAAAGAAACACCATATCTATGGAATGAGTATAGCCGAGATGGAGATGTTGAGGTGGACGAGTGGCATGACAAGAAAGGATAGAATCCAGAATAAAAACATCAGAGGGAACCTAGGAGAAATTCCAATAAACGATAAGATAAGAAAAAAATAGACTTTGGTGGTCTGGTCATGTGCAGTGTTGACCTAAAACAGTACCAGTTAGGAACAGTGATTGGATTCAAGTTGAAGGCTTTAAAAGGGCAAGCCCAAAAGAACATAAATGGAAGTAGTGAAAAGAGATGTGTTGGCTTATAAACTAACTTAGGATATGAGCCTTGGCGGAATGACAAAACATGATTCTTGTATCCGACCCAAATAGTTAGAATAAGATTATGATGATGATGAAAGCAGTTCGAAACTTGTTTGAAACTAGAAGTTGCATACCATGGGAATTAGTGAATTTGAACTTTCAGTCATAATGACCGATGTCACGTTATGATGAATGGTAGGAATAAAATTGACTTCTAATTCATCATAAGAAAGCAAAATGAATTATTTCTTGCATCAAATTGTACATGAAGTTCTTAAAGGCCAAGGTGAAAATGAGATTCCCTTTAAAACTCACCATGTATTAAGCCTGAGCTGAGGATTTGAAGGCCTGTCAAAAGCGTGTCGAGTTAACTATGTGTTGATATTTGATTTAAAGGTCTACTTATTTGACCTGCAGGTACACTAACAGGTCTAATAATTTGACCTGTGGACACACATATAAACGTTGGGACACGGTTTCTATGAGTCCTAGGACTCACATAGTGTCATCTCTTTTTAGTCTAGAGATGGATCTTGGATGTAATTTTTTAGATAGTTCACTAATATATAAAAATAAATAAAATTTACAAGCTAAAAATGGTTATTTTGGAGAAAATTTCTAAACAGTCAAATTTTAATTTTTTCGGAGAGATCACAACTTTACATTGTAGAACTTATGCATTGACTACTTCCTCCAAACATTGACCCCAAAGGGAGGAACTAAATCATTAATATATATTTCTAAACAGTTTCTTACCAGCGAATCAGATTGAACTGATTGATTGTTCTTGTGGCTTGAGGAAGATCCATTCATTCTTTGTGTTGCTATAACATATAAACAAGTTTGGTATTTCACTTATAAATTTGGTGTCGCCTACCCTCCTTGGCCCTTGTAAACCCCAATGGACATTTTGAAAAATAGGACTGACTGATGCCACGCTAGCTACCCTTTTCGATCATGAAAAATATTACAAAATATAAATGTATTTAAGCAATAAAAAAATGTTGGCGTATGGAGGCCTTGAGCTCTAGAACATTTGGCGAGAAATTTTTTTAACAAACAACAAAATTACAACCTTAGTCACAAAATAAAGCTATAAAGACCTTTTGCTGGAGACAAATCCACTAATACACCTTAAAAATACTACAAAGACCTCACAGTTAGTCTCCTTAGATTTCTACTCACATAACCCACTTGGAGATGGACTGATGTATGAATTACATGACTACCATAAAATTGTTAGCAATATATACTCCATATAACTTAAACAATCACAAAAATTAAATTACAAAGTAAATGTTAATCTCCAAATTACATAAACAAAACTGTGTGTGCTAAGTGATATCCTAAACATGAGAAACCAATAATGAAACAAGATTTGCTTAGCTCACCGCCGTGAGACTTACATAGAAACCATTATGATATCTCCTTTCGATAGCACAATGTTTAATGGTGCACTCTTGTCTACTTTCCAGGGAAGCATAACATGAAAGCTCATAACATATTTGAAACATGAAATGCTCCATAAAAAAAGTAAGGGTCGGAAATGGTAATTTCATGAAGCAAAGAGAGTGGCTTTGTAAGCTTATGGTGAACTATGTGTGGGTTGATTCATACAAGGGGGAGAGAGAATGTCAAAGAGGCTTAAGGTCTTGTTTTCATGGAGAATATCTGAGAAATTGAAAACCTCATAAAAAAGCAGAAATAAAAACCAACGGCTGGAAGCTGAGAACCTTTGTTTGGTAACTTGTATGTGAAAATCAAAGAAAGCTTGGGCTGGAACTTGGGCTAAGATAGATTCAAAGGGGATAGATCGTGAGGTTAAATAAATAAAAAGGGGATGGAGGAGTCTTATTCCCCCCCCCCCCTTTTCTCCAGAAATCGGCAGTGTACCCCTTGGGGTGCCCTACAGTGTTGGCCAAAATTAGGAAAAAGAAAAGAAACATAGAGAGATGTGGGGCTCCGTGTTTCCATACTTTTCCCATTCC